TATTAATATGTTTCATAATGTATAGAAAATGTGTTTGTTTAGTCAGTGTTTAACACATTAGTTAAAATATTATAATTACTATTTTGTTTTTCTTTAACTCAGCATTTTGTATAAATAATATTTCGCCTTGGAAAGATCCTCTTGATATGAGAGAAAACAGGTTTTCAAGAATACGGATGCTTATCTATTAATCGTTATTTGCAGGGTTGCAACCAATGATTATTTAGCTAATCGATTATTCTATTTTATTTTTTTAGATTAATTGTTTAACAATTGGATATCAAAAGTTTCCTTAAAGTTTTTTTTACAGAATGAAACCAGGTTAAACTGGATAGAGCATATTGACAGGAAAAGGTTTTTCTTTTATCTTAAATGCAAAATATTTATAATATTGTTTACAATTGGTATAGTTACTGCTCTAAGTGAGTCGCTCTATCAGCTAAAGGCATGTTTTAGTCTATACCAGTTAACAATTAATCGATAAATAATTTAGTTGAAGATTATTTTAATAATTGGGTTATTCTGATTAATTTAGCCTATTTATTATTTGATTGATAAGATTGATTAACTTAATTCATTCATTGATAATTTGCATCCTTATTTAACATACTTTATGAATGTTTTCAGAAAAGTAAAATAACTAAATTTAGTCAAAGACTAGTTCTGTGCTGTAATTTAACTTTTACTTACCTTTATGGTGCTCTGAGAAAAGTTAAAAGGGAAAGACTGCATTGCTTCCTTCCTCATCTCTACTGTAGTCCATCCAGCTGCGTTAGGGTAGAAATAATGTGTTCCTTAAATATATTTGAGAGGAAGTATATTTTTTTTCTGGCCTGTAAAAAAATAATGCTTAGTCGGTAAATGATTTTGTCTCTTTCGCTCTATTTGGCTCAAGAGTCGAAAAGTTAATTTCAGACCCTGCATGTAGGGTTTAAATAGAACATTAAAATGGCCTTTTGGCCAGTATGAACGGGGTTGCACTCGCCTTCTCTTTATCTGGTCACCTTAACTCTCAGCCCGTGGCTTTTCTTTTTTGATCTATTAAAACCAATGAGTTGTCATTTAAAATGTTGTACTTTTTTTACCTCCAAACTAAAAATCTCTTGGTCCATGGTGTCTTATGCAGCGAGGTTCTCTGGTGGCTCTGTGTTGGAGCTGCAGGTAATGTTTTGATGTTTTAGACTGAACTGCGACCTACGTAGGGTTTACATTTGAAAAGCCACTGGATCCACTTAAAGGAAAATTCCGGTTTTTAACACTTTTAGCCCATTTTCTGTAATGTCCAGGATGCATTCAAATGATCGACACCAACATTTTGACAATTGGTCCTGTCTCTGCTATTTGGCTCATGCAGAATCCCCCCCTGGCTGCTTCAGAATGGCTTCCATAGGGCATGTCCGATAATGTCCTTAAAACAACCTTAAACATTCTTTTTTTTAAATATGCTACTCACCGGGTCGTCAGCGCTGTTCAATGACCTTCCAAAAAAAGTTTCGTGAAGAAAAACCGTTCCTGTCTTGTTTTATTTAGCATTTTGTAAATCCCAGAACTATTTTTTCCGATACATCACAACCGCTTATAAACTTCCGCTTCCCGTTCGAATCTGAAGCGTTGCACACTCCAGACCACTAGTTGGCGACAATGTCTCTATATACTCCTCCTCAGTATATTCCGGTTCAAAACGGTATCCTCTACCGTCAAACTCAAAGTCCAATATGTCCTCCTCAAGAATCCACCTTTCGTATTCCATTTTCAGAGTTTTTTAAAGTGTTTAACAGAGACGTTAGCACCTCGACGTTAGAGTACACAGAGTGAAGCGAAAAGACTACAACTAAGTGTAAAGAGGCCCCATTTCCGTTTCCGGTGGCGGAGGGATATTGACTATTCCAACAGAACTCAATGGGATTTACAAAATGCTAAATAAAACACTACAGGAACGTTTTTTCTTTACGAAACTTTTTTTGGAACGTCATTGAACAGCGCTGACGACCCGGTGAGTAGCATATTTTAAAAAAAGAACGTTTAAGGTTGTTTTAAGGACATTATCGGACATGCACTATGGAAGCCATTCTGAAGCAGCCAGGGGGGGATTCTGCATGAGCCAAATAGCAGAGACAGGACCAATTGTCAAAATTTTGGTGTCGATCATTCGATTTCATCCTGGACACTACAGAAAATGGGCTAAAAGTGTTAAAAACCGGAATTTTCCTTTAATGTTTAGCAACTTACTTCCCTTCTGAATAATCCGCTCTACTCCAGATGATGAGGACTTGAAGTGTCAAGTGGGAAAAATAAACCAGCCACAGTCACACACGATTCTGAGATGCTTCAAGGACGCACCTCGGTGGAGCCGCGCTCATTAACCAGATTAGCTGCGTCCAACCGCGGCAGTGGTGCGTGGGTCCCAGGGATAGACTCAGATTTTATTTGGAAGTGATATGTCTAACAATCAGATTGGATGGTTTGTTGCTTTCACTTTCATTTGAGAAAAGATAGGGGAGCGTATTGTTCAAACAGTGAAACAAGTACAATGTGTGGATAAAAGCTGGAACCAGAACCGCACACACAGAAACATTCTCCACAGTCATCAAACTCTTGGCTTCCATAGCTTATCTTGCACTTTGCATAAAGTAGCTTTAAAAGTCTGACCTAAAACTTTCTCTGTTTACAGAGAACAGAATACAGCAATATTTATAGTCCTATAGGAGCCCAGTTCCATCTGGTCATGCAGAAAAAAAAAAAACATAGCATAACTTATCAGTCATATATATAAAATGTTATAAGTCTGATAGAAAAATACCTCCATTTCATTTGGACCAGATAAAGTTTTGCAAGGCTCTTTAAAATGTTGTTTATATGTAATTATTTCTGGTAAATATTGTTTCCAAAATAATGAGATATTAACTTAAAGTTATCATATTTCATCAGTATCAGAAATGTTCTGTGGTGGTTTTGGGATTAAAAGCATCTTAAAATGAATTATTGGTCAGTTAAATAGCCGATTAGCTAATAATCATCTCCTCCTTGACAGTGTTTGCACTGGTAGGATTACTAATTTAAAAAGCTGTTTTAATGTTAAACTCTTAATAAGTATCCATCTTTTTATTTTCTAAAGGACTGTTGCTGCAGTATTAAGTGTCGATGCTAAACAATCTTAAAGGAAAAGAATAATTATAGATGGTAATGGTGGAGGGCAGGAAGGATCTTCAGTAGTGGTCAGCATTACAGCGGTTCTGTAGAATCATATGACTGAGGGTATAAACTGCTGTTTATGATGTAACAGGAAGACGACGCTCAGGATTGTTTTTCAGCTCTTTATTTAATGAGGAATCATGATCATTTCTGGAGGTCAATCTGATCTTTTGAAAAACAAATGTCTCTTTCCTAAAATCTGCTCCAGTCACTATTTTAAAGCGACATAGTGATATTATTCCCGCACAAGTTGAATCAATAATTGTGCTGTAATTGTCCCCTACGTCACCGTTGATGTCGCCCCTCTGGGTTGGCATCAGACCTTAGGAACCGCTGCTGTACGACATTTTAAATGTCGCTTTACTCTAATTCTGTCTTTGTGTGTGATTGATTGTAATAGCTGCACAACATACATTTCAGCATCTGAAAGCACCAGTGGCGGCTGGTGAAAAATATTTTTGGTGGGGCTGATATAGCCTAGTGTATGTCTCCAACTAATCCGGAATAAGAATTCAAATAAACAATTGGACAATACATACAATTTAACAGTAATGATTTAATTTACTATATAATAACAGTAACAGTGATGATTTGGGTCAATGTGACGGGGTTCTTTGGCCTCCAAGAATCCAGTCTCAGTCGGGTTACCGGTGTTGGTGATTTATTGAGCTCAAAAACTCAAAACAGGGTGCAAAAGAAACTAAACATACAAGATACTCTGGGCCTCAGCCTCCCTCCAGTTACCAGCAATGTAACAAAGAAACAGAAAACAAAAATTGCCGCTTTTCTTCCCACAGCCCTCATTAAATAGTTTAAGCCCTCACATCAGGCTCTCTTATTTCTGATTTCTTCTCATTAATCAGTTTTGTCCATATATTACCTCCACAAACAATTGATGTACAAAAACAAATAATTTTTACAACTTAATTCTTTTACACAGATTCATTGACTTATTCAATTACACCAAACTGGGTTTGAACCCAGCAAAGACGCAGCCAGACTGAAGATGACAAGTCCCCGTAGCATAAACACGTACACACCCCCCCCACACACACACACACACACGGCTAACCCCACTGAAATATTAAGTGTGCACCCTCAATACGCCAGCAGGTAACCAGGAACAGCTTGTGTGTTTTAAGTTCATGGAGCTACTGGTCTCAGCGCGAGTGTATTGGTCCTCACAAACACAGTATAACAGGAATGTGTGTGTGGCGCGCAAAGTTAGAGAGGTTGTTTTAAGCGACGAGGTGGATTCGTCACAGTCACAATAACCATGACATGAAATGTTCATATCCTACAACAGGGATGTTCTTCTGGCAAACGGGTAGATAAATAAGGATCTCACCGAATTTGGTGGAAGCTGCATCTCGGTCGTTACATTCGCCATCTCCCCTCTAACTGTCTGCACCTGCGCTTGGGTTCAGAAGCCTGTTAAAGCGCAGTATTTTCAGCGCCCCAATACCATAAAGTTCCGAGACGCTGATTGGCCATTAAATTCACCTAGCAATAGTACATGATTGACAGATTCTCTGCAAATGTGGGTCAGTCTGATCAGCGCCCCCAGAACAGAGACGGTAGGAGTCTGTCTGTGGAAATCCACAAATTAATGACAGTAGATAGGGAAATGTAGTTTATATAATTTGTTTTGCTTATAGGTACACAGTCTAGAGAGTAAAACTGACATTTATGAGTTAATTTCTGAAAATATATTTTACGTTTCTCTCTTCTTATCAGGGAGGGCGGTGCCCCAGCGCCCCCTATGGGCCGGCCGCCACTGGAAAGCACCTGTGTCTGTCTCCCATTAGGAAAAATTTCATCAGAGTGGAAGAAATCGAGAAGAACATGGGAACGTCTCTCCACAGGGCTTTAATGTCAGAGTAAAATAAAAACTGTAAACTAGCTAGAAGCTCCTGCATCAGAGGTTTTGGTTCAGCTCTTAAAATCTGATTGAAAATGAGGAAAATTCTTTAAAAAGTAACTTTGACATGATAACATCCATAAAGCTGGACTTTATACTCTGATTTAGCAGCAAAGGTCACTTCTTTACTCAGTGGGCTACTTTTTATTTCTTTTTATAACTCGGTTTTAGAGCTTGGGACGTCATGGGCACAGAAACTAACTTTCCTTTTGATCTCACTCATCAACGAACCAACCCTGAAAATGCTGAGTAAATAAAAGCGTGTGTTTTTTACCGTTTGATCCATCAGGTTCCGATGATCCTGGTGGGGAACAAGTGTGACCTGGAGGACGAGCGTGTGGTCGGCAAGGAGCAGGGTCAGAACCTGGCTCGTCAGTGGAACAACTGTGCCTTTTTAGAGACTTCAGCTAAATCAAAGATCAATGTTAATGAGGTAAAATCTAAATTAACTTAAAGGAAGCTTTTGTTTACCCACGTTCACTTAATTATGCATTTCACCTTAAAAATATTGAATACATGTTTGGATACTTTTTAATAATTCAATCCAGGATCTTTGATTTCTTTCCATGTTGCCCAAAATGCTTGATGGATTTAAATAAATAAATAAAAATCTCTGTTTCAGATTTTCTATGATCTGGTGCGGCAGATCAACAGGAAAACGCCGATGGAAAAGAGGAAGACAAAAAAGAAGTCAGGTTGCACACTGCTCTAAAAATGCTCTCCCACGGTTGCTCCAGGCCAGGTGAGTGGGAGGTTGGACTAAATTTATTCCAGACGTGAACATGGCTGCGGGGCTTTCTGAGCCCTGAGTTGTTGCCGAACATTTAAAGCATGTTTCTAAGATAGTAATATTGATTGATTACGATGAACAAAGGTTCTTTTATGCCTTTTTATACTGGGGAAAAAACATAACAGTGTTTTAGGAGTAAAACTGAAAGATAAGAAGCACCTGAGACATTTAGTGTCATTTATTGTTCTGATGCCTTTCTAAACATGTTAAAGGAAAAGATGGGCTGGTTGGTGTTGATTTGTTTATTTATTATTAGGATCCACATTAGCTGTGCTTTACACCCAGCTACTCTTCCTGCGGTCCACATCATTCAAATACAGTATACAATATAAATTCATGAACATGTTTGACAGATGACAAATATCATATCACATATCAATAAGACTGAACATTCATAGAAAAAGGGAAAGTTAGAATTTAAAATTGTAACATTTTATGAATAAGTTATAATAAATTAGAATATGAAACTATTTCATTTATAGATAAGTTGCTCCTAAAATCTTCTTAAGTTGTATTTTAAAAGCAGACTTGTGTACAATTGTTATGATAATTAATGGCAATGAGTTCCATTCTTCCATTGCTCTGTAAGTAAAGGTGCATTTGAGAAAATTATTTTTCGCCCTAGAAATTTCAAATCGTCCTTCAAGTCTTGTGGCATAACCATGAGAGTCCAAATTATCCTTAAATTGAACAAACAGAAACAGTGGACTCTGGAGTTTTAAGATTTTCCATGTTGAGAATAATAGCGAAGCTAGTGACCTGTGATGAACCTTTAGCCAGCTTAGATTTGAATGCATGGTATTTATACTTAGCCTCGTGAAACCATCCTGATCTCGCGAGCTTTCAAGGTTTCACTCGCAGATCAGTCTGGAGACTCTCCGGTAAAGAAAATTTGGAGCCGTTCACCAAACGAACGTCCAATCAGCGTTGGCTTTGAGGCGGGTTGAGGTGTGACGCAACGAGAAGCGCGACAGTTCAGTCTAAAGAACATGGCGGCTTCAGCCGATGAAACTAGCGTTAGCGTGGCTATCGAGCAAGTTTTATCGGAATTACAGAGTATTTCTTCACTGAAAGAAGAGCAAAACACTGCTCTGGAGGCTTTTCTCAGAGGAAAATATGTTTTTGCTCTTCTCCCAACTGGTTTCGGCAAGAGTAGCCTGGCTTGTGTTGTGTTTTCGTCGTTGCTCTGTTAGTACGTCATATGCTTCGTTGATCTGATTGGTTTATTTGGCCTGTCTATCACCAACATAGGCCAATCAGCTAACCAGTATTTTCGCCCCTTCCCAAAATTACTTCAACGGAAGGTTTCCAGATGGATATGCGGACCAAATCCATCTGGCGGAGTCAGGTTAATTTATACTGGTCCTGTGAAAACAATTTAATGCTACACGGGCAGCTTTATTTTGCCTTATTTGAAGTTTCTCTAAATCTTTTCTTTTTGTATTTGACCATATTGTTTGACAGTAGTCAAGTTGAGAAATTATTTATGTTCTTACTATAAGCTTAGTCAAATCAGCTGGCAAAAATTTGCTACATCTTCTCAATATAGCTAAAGCTCTGCTCATGTTCTTTACAACAGCTTCAGTGTATCTTGACTAAGACAGTTTATTATCCAAATAGACACCAATAAGCTCAGCTTCTGTTACTTGCTCAATGAATTTATTAACAAATTTCTTAACAAATCCTTATTCTCTAAAAAACCCACTAAAAATAGAAATAACCTTTTTATTATATAATCACTTATTTCATTAAACTAATTCTTAAATGAGGAACAATAATCCTGAAGCCAATTCTATAGCAAAGTAATTTTACCTAAATACTCTCCCAAAAGGGTTTAAATTTCAGATCAGTTGTTTATTGCCATTTCTATTATAAAGAACTAACTTTTTTTAGTTGTCCACAAGGAATCAGACATGCAGCTGTAATTCATGCTATTATGTTGATTAAGTTAGGAATGCATTTTACTCTAAAAGTCTTTCAGAGAGATTTTATTTAGCAACTAAAACTGTTTAATGAACCAAAGATGTATTAACAACACCTGTTCTTTACTTCCTGTCACTGCTGTTTACTTACCAAACATGCAAAGCATTGGATGAGTCACATTCAAACAAAGGTTGAACCTAAACGGCTGAGATTCCAATTGTATGAAGTTCAAAGTACATTAAAAACGTTGCTCGTAGTTCACCCCTAAAACTGTTTAGTTGTTTCTGATGTTTGTTTGTTTTTTCTCACTTGCAGAAACTTGTAATGATTAACTGCTTCCCAGTGGATGGTGCCAGCATTCCAAGTCCTCTCCAGAGCATTTGAAAAAAAAAAAAAACGTCCGACAGAGAAAACCACACCACTTGCAAAACAGCAGAAGGCACATACTTTAAAGAAAACGCCTTGCTTTTTACTGGCAAGGAAAATCAACCTCTCCTGTATTGTCAAGCCTGATGACAATATATATATTTTTTCTTCTTTTTTTCTCTGAGGTGTCTTTTCTTCTGGAAATAAAGTAAAGGAGGAAACTTTGGATTCAAATCCATTTAAGGGAACTAATAAGAATTCTATAATGAGTAACAGCAGTCTTTGGCATATTGTGACAGTATATTTGTAAAGGAATCCATTTAAAAATGTTGGTCTTCTTGTACATTTCTGCACTAACAATGTCAATGAAGATGCATCATTGTCTGTAAGTTACTCGCTCCTCCTTACAAGGTTGTGTATTGATAACATCTCTCCTAAGTGACTTTGTTTTATATTGAAAGCTGCAAGCCTTCCATATTTCCCCATAATATATTCTACTTCCATTTTTGCATAATAAAAGTAAAGAAATTAGTATTTTATAGACAGATAGGGGGGTGAGGGTGTGCTCTGATTTGTGTCTTGAGGGTGAAAATATATTGTACTAAACCACCTCTAATACTGCTTCTTGTTACCCTGTCACAGATGATTTTCCAGCTTTTATGAATGATTAAATTTTAGTACATTTTCATTATTTTCCTCTGGTTTTTGTCCTTCCTGCTTTTGTCAGTTGGTTGAAGAGAAGTGCGCCAAATCGAAAGTGTAATAGGAGTGTTTCCTGTTGGCAGAAATGACTCAGCTCATGCCTCCAAGAGGAGTTTCAGCAGATTAGGATTGAGCTGAGACAGGAAACGGCAGACAAAGAGGAAACCAGACCTCAGTCCCAACAGCAGGCAGGATGTGGAGTAAAAAGCAGAATTGAAACTGACTGGGTGACTAACTTACCCTTAATGTGTAAAAACAGTTGGCTTCAGATTCTGTTTCTTGCAGAAGTATTCGCCCCCCTTGAACTTATTGACCTTTTGCCACTTTTAGGCTTCAAACATAAAGAGATAAAATTGTAATTCTTCATGATTGTTGCCCACTTCTTGTTGATTCTTCACGAAGTGTAACAAAATGTATTTAATATTTTAAAGTTTAATGAAAAAAATGGATGTGCAAAATTATTCAGCCCCCTTGAATTAATATATTTGTAGAACCACCTTTTGCTGCGATTACAGCTGCAAGTTGAGAGACTGAATTTTTTTTCCCATTCTTTCTGCAAAACAGCTGGAGCTCAGTGAGGTTGGATGGAGAAAGTTCCAACAGCGGTTTTTAGTTCTTTCCATAGATGTGGATTGAATTCAGGTCTGGACTTTGAATAGGCCATTCTAACACCTGGATATGTTTTTTGATTTTTTTTTTTATCTTTTTGATCCTTGTTTTGTTGGAAGAAAGACATTCTTTCCAGTCTCTGGTCTTTTGCAGACTCAAACAGGTTTTCATCCAGAATGATCCCGTATTTGACTCCATCTATCTTCCTATCAACCTTTAACCATCTTTCCTGCTGGAAAAAAAAATAAGGCCCAAACCATGATGCTGCCACCACCATGTTTGACAGTGAGGATGGTGTGTTCAGCTTTGTTTTTTTGTTGTTTTTTTCCAAATCAGTTTATTGTCTTTTACCTTTCAGAGACATACAGACAAATAACTCACAAGTGTACAAAAAACCTAACAAAACCAAAAGAAAACTCATTAACAAATTAAACATTCAAGGCGACAAGCATTTGAAGATTACAGTGAGACAAAATATTTTAAGTTTTTTATCTCAGGGGTGTATGTTGAGACTTAGTCCAAGAGATTTAACCACAGTCCACAAGCTAGGTATGAGGTGATGGCTTCGCCCTCCCTGGTTCTAGGCATCCCGACATCAATGTTTTAGTTTCATACATTTTTTGAACAAATGAGTACATTTGGACTTAACATGAAGATAACAGACTTACAGCCACTATAGGAATAAAGACATAAGCAGAATTAGCAAGATTACATTCAGTCAATCATGTGTTCAGCTTTGTTGATTTTACACTAAATCTACAGTTTTGCATTGTTGCCATAAAGTTGGATTTTGAGTACTTTCACATGTTTGCATCTACCAGGTGGCTTGTGGCAATTTTTTTTACTAGAATTTAACGGATATCTAACCCCATTGTTGTAGATCTCTGCTGGAATTTAATGAGTCTCCCACCTCAGCTGTAGATCTCTGCAGTTCATCCAGAGTGATCATGGGCCTCTTGGCTGCATCGCTGATCAGTCTTCTCCTTGTTTGAGCTGAAAGCTTTGAGGAGACAGCTGGGTCTTTGTAGATTTGCACTGATCTGCTACTCCTTCCATTTTAATATTATCTCTTGCACAGTGCTCTTTCGGATGTTAAAAGCTTTGGAAATCATTTTGTATTAGGGATGCACGATATTAGGATTTTGGCCGATATCCGATATGCCGATATTTTAAAACTCATGTAGCCGATAACCGATATTAAAGCTGGACAAAAATTAGTAGTCATTGAAAATAGCAGTTTTGTTATCTATTTCTGACACTTTTAAAAATAATATGCTCAAATATATTTTCATATGCTGATATCAAATTGATTTTTAAAAACGCGGTATCGATCTATTTTACTTTCAAAATCTCGTGAAATTTCATTGTTCTGTTACAAAATCGTGATATTTTGCAAATTCTTGTGAGATTTGTTAGTATGCGCACTTTCATCTGGTTTGGTCTGCCGGCTTCCGTAGCGTCATGAACGCGCATGTGCGCGCTTTCAGGAAATCCTATACACTACTGTTTATGCTCTAAAAACATTCTAAATGACTTCGTTTCGAGTAAATTCTGGATCCTACCCACTCAGGACACTTAGAATACATTGGACGAGCAGTATGGAGGAATATTGACACGTTTTTTGTGGACTTTTATGGACCTTTCTGTCTCGGGCGCCATAGACCTCCATTATTTGAATGTCAGCAGACAGCAAGAAGCCTCCCAGATCTCCAGATGCATTTGAGATATCAAAAAAGTACTCCAGAGTGTTGTTCAGCATGGGGGTGAGTAGAAAATGAAGGCTAATCATGTTTTGGGTGTACCGTACTATTCCTTTAAAGCTTTGGAGGCGCTAAAAACTAGCTACACATGCATTTACCAGCAATCAGTCCTTCTGCAATTCTCCACAGAGAGAAATTACTTGATGTTTCGTTATTAGAGTTAATAATAAAGAAGTATCCAGAAAAAAATGCTTTGAGATAGTGTTACTTATTTCATTTTAAAAAATGGCAAAGAAAAGTAAGAACAGCTAAAGGAAAGCATTTTCTTACCTGGTTACCAAGGTTTGTCTTTTGACTCCCTGTTGGAACAGTGTGTTCTAGCCATGGCATTAGGTTGGACCTACAACCTTCGTTTTGGGTTTTCCTTTTCCTTCAATAAAAGATTTTATTTGTTTCATTATTTATCCATCCTCTAAATTTTATCCGTCAGGATCACTACGTTTCGGCACCTTTCTCCACCAGTCTATGGGCACCAGTCCGTCACAGGGACATACAGCCATGCACACTCTCACAATCTGGGTCAAATTTAAAAACAGCAATCAGCTAAAAAGTCATGGTTTTTGACTGTGTAGCTGGAGCAACTGGAGGAAACGCACACATGCACAAAGAGGGCATGCAAACTCTGTGCATTATGATCCTGGGGCAGGATTCATACCTGTCACTTATTTGCTGGAAGGCAAAAGTGGCACAAATTGGCAAACAGCCCTATTGTTTTGTGACAAAGAGGGGTTTCCAGTAGAGACCAAACTTAGTGGAAGAATAGAAACATCTTTAATTTTCACATTTCCACTTATTTTGTTTCTTGTTTTGTTGCTCCCAAACAACTACATAAATTCCTGCAACAAAGGTTTTATCTTAGGAAAGCTCCTTTTATAAGTACACCTATACCTTAAAAAATAATGAAATTTATTATTTATTTCATGATATTTCAAGATTTTCTGAATCTCGGGTATGCTATTTACCCTTTAAGATAATTTTGGTCATCTGTTTTGCCCTCCATGTTAGATGATCATCCAAAAAAATGTTTGTAAAAATAAAAAATGTGTATATATACGAATCTAAAATCTAACATGGTAGCATTTTACTGACAAATTTGGCTAATATGGTTTAGTGATATAAACAGCTGCCCAAACTATTTACAGGTTTTGCTTTTGCTTGGTGGAAACTATCTATTTTTTATATAAAGTTGTAAACTTTAACAAATTTGTAAACAAATGAAGGAGATTAAAAGCTACTGCTAAATTGGCTTACTGTTCTCTACTGGATACTATACAGAAATGAAAATAAGGATTTACTACCTAAGTAAAGAATAATGCTTTATTAGAATTCTATTAATTTAACATCTATAAAAGAATATTGTTACATTTTTAATTGTAATAATCATAATTATACAAAGTTTAACAGGTTTACTGGCAATATTTTAATATTTCTACACTGAAAAAAAGTAACCTATTTTGCCACCTTTTACTTAATTATATTTGGTTACTTTACTTTTTTCATGTTAGCTGGGTAGGACATAAAACAATTGTGTTAAAGTAAGTAAATATGATTAGGTAAATGCCAAAAGTGTTTACATAATTTTTTTCAGTGTATATATTCTGTATATATTTGTTCACTATATATTTCAATAGTAAACAAATGTTTTTTGTTGTATTTCTTAGTACTACATGTATTTAGACCTCATGTTAAACAATATAACCTTAACTGATGCTGTGAAATCCTGCTTTATACGATGACAGCAGGCCAGCAGCTTTTCATGCCATTTAAATTGAATTGATCTACATTAAATCCACTGATTGATCAGCGGTGTTGGCTCCCCATCTCCCAGCTTATCCCGCCTCCTTACTCCCCCCTCCTTCTCCCCCACACCCGGACCGACAGGCTGCTCGCCCCCTCCCCCTCGCCTCCATCATTTTCCCATCTCTTACTCTCTTCCCCTCAACAAACATGGCCGCGAAATCTGATGGTGCTCCTGTCTCTCCGCGAAACGAAATCCCACACGAGTGTCCCGCCAGGTCGGACCCGGTAGCCCCGGAGTGCCGTGTGAAGGAGCATCGGTACAGCCTGCAGGACTTCTGCTGGACGCTCTGCGTCCTTTTGGTCTTTTTCTCGGACGGGGCCTCAGACCTGTGGCTGGCTGCCGACTACTACCTAAGGGGGAAGTACTTGTTCTTTGCCTTGACTCTGGTCTTTGTGATCATTCCGTCCGTGGTCGTGCAGGCGTTAAGCTTTCGGTGGTTCGCCTATGATTTCACGGAGACCGTGGACAGCGGCACAGCCGCGGCCGCTGTGGTTGCAGCGGGGGGAGCGGAGGGAGGCGACTTCAGCACCAAGGACAGCGGCGAGTGGGGCGCTGGCCGGGCTGCCGCGGCCGGGGGGCTGCCGGGGCCGGCCGGCGGGGGGCGAGTCCGAGGCTGCTGCAGAGCCTTTATGTGGTTCTTTCAAGCCCTCATTCACATTTTACAGCTAGCACAGGTCTGGAGGTGAGTCTGAAAACTGGTCGTGATCTGGGAGGTTTGGAACACTCTGTCTCTGCTGTTTTTTGAAAGAGCAAACCCTGCACAGTCCAATGTTCCACCCCGGTGTTACAAAAAACATCATCATTTAGGGGAAACTGTGCCAAAAAAGGATGATTCTGTTTATGCATTGTGTGACATATCTCCACCAACTGGCAAGGGGATTAGACTCCACCCTCTCCATCTAACCCCCAGGTTGACCTTGGGTCAATTATTCCTTTGGAAATTATACAATTATACACGTTTCTTTTTGTTAGAATGATTAATAAGCCACATCCCTGGAATTTTCCTAGATCTAAATCCTCAGTGGCAAAGTGGGAATCCTCATTGTTAACATGTAAATAGTCACATTAAGACACAAAGTTATTCATAAGTCAAACAGGCATTTAAAAAATCTAAAGGGACAACAATAGGTCTGTAGGTCAACAAGTCATTCAGTGATGCTGACTCAGAGCTCAGAATTTTAGTCCTCTAATAGATTTTGATAGGTTTGGACTACTGCCAGTCAAAGAACACATTAAGTTGCAGGAGGAGTGGGTGACAATACTCCCAGTATGATAAAAAAAAAAAAAAAATATTCAGCATTTGTGACAATTAAAGAAAAAACTTTGAATTATATTGTGTGATTATGTCTATGACAACATAATGTCTCTTTCTATGCCCTTTCTCTTCCTTCCTCTTGAGACGGCAGTATTGATCCCATACTTCCGCTTGGAGACTGAGTGAGTGTGAGTTTGTCCAGGAGCACATTAAAACATTGTGGCAGCACAGAATTACCGGTAATGCCATTAAAGCTGTTGTGTATGTGTGTGTGCCCTATTCGTGGGTGCCACACTACAGCAGTATGTCTGCACATTAAAGAGGATTAGTGCTGTGTTTCACCCCAAGCTGTTAACTTGTGAATGATCTGTCACTGATACACATTTAGTCAGGTGAACAGGGATCAATTGAGGCCTGAAACCTGAACTGAATGTCGCTTGCATGAGATGTGATATGGGAGGGCTGCCATGGATCGAGTGCAGCGAAAACACCAGCATACTCCTTTGACCCTTTGATCCTTATTACTGCTTATGTGCGCTATTTCTTTAGTTTGTGTACATTTCAAGGCTTTCCTTGTGTTTGGAGACACAGACAAGAAGGATTATGGTGATTTTATGTGTTGCTCAAGAGAGATTATTGCATAATTGTAAAGTAGAAGGAAAATAATAGTTTTACAAATCAATATCTGGAAAATGTTGGCTCCATTCATATTTAGTTTATTTTATTCTGAAAAGGGGCTGAATAATCCTAAATATAATCCAGTGTATACACTTGCCATTAGACGTCACTTAACCAGTATAAAAGTTCAACTTTGTTTAGTCTAAATATAAATAGTCATTTTTTTTTTTTTAGTTTCTACGGCACTAGTGGCTAATTTTTTTTGACAGAAGGCTGACATAAGGCAAATGACCACAGGTTGGATTCGAATCTAAGTCAGCCACGTCAAGGACTAAGGCGCCAACTGCATGCCCATAAATACTCCTCCTATTTGAAAGATTTCCTTAGAAAATATATCCCTGATATTCTAAACTAACCCCTAAGCAGGTTTAACTTATGAAGCTACATCTCATTGAGCTACAATAATCTATCATCTGAAAACAAAGAGTATAGCACAGCATAGCCAAAACAAACAAACCTTAACAGGGACAAGGAGGGTATTGTTTGGAGAAGCAGCCAATACACCCTTAGTAACTCTGGAGGAGATGCAGAGATCCACAGCTCAGGTAGAAGAATCTGTCCTTATGGACGACTGGAACCAAGAAAGTGCTTTAGGTTGTTGAAACTTATATTGAATTATTCTGCCTATTTTAACACATTTTTGTTAAAAAATAACACTTGACATTCCTCTTTAAAAACCCTCTCCATAATGGTGGCAGCATCATGCTAAGGGATGTGGATGCTTGGTGGAAGCTGCTTAGAGTTGATGCAAAGCTTCATTCCTCTGAATGCAGGATAATCGTATAAGATAAACCTTAAGGTAACAACAGATTATCTGATCAAAATGCTGAAAACTGAGTAGCCATTTTCTCTTTTACACTTCTACAAAGTGCATGCCAATCTTTTACAATCTGTTTTTGTGTCGTTCTATCACATAAAAACCAAAGGGAACTCATTGAACCGCTGTTGTAAGTTCACCAAATGTGTCGCAGCATACAGTCTCTCTTGCGGTTCAGTAGTCTCCTTGACATGAGTCTCCTCTGACCCTCTCTCCCAAGGCAATTACAGAGACATTTAATGCTTCACTGCTCGCTGAAATCTATCAGCATTTCTCCAATCATGTTCAGTTATGGTAAGGTCAATCATCTAGATGCAGCAATTTTGTATAAAAAAAAACTGATGCTAACAGCATTTCTATGGATTATTTCTCCCTCTTTTTGGCAATTCCTGCTGTTACTGCATCCATTTTCATGTTTTTTTTCTAAAGGACAGAGATTATAGACATGCTTCATATTTCTCTTTCTGATGTCTGCTTTTAATGTATAGCTGCTTAGCTGCTTAGCTGAGTTTTAGTTTAATTTAAATCTTAAATGAGGGACAAACTATGGATTTGGAAGGAACTACTGACCACCACCCATAGTTGTAAATAATGAGCACTGACTTTTGAAAGATGTTTGAAAAATCAATGGTTTAAACATCTTGTATTCTAGTAGAGCAAACAAACTGGTGACACCTTGAATCCTCTGATGCAAAGGTATGTCCACGCCCTGTATCTGGGAGTGCAGAGCCGCTGGCATGGAGACCCCGAGAGGCGTAACTACTACTGGCGCATGATGTTTGAGAGCGCCGATATCAGCATGCTGCGTCTGCTCGAGTCCTTCCTGAAGAGCGCTCCCCAGCTGGTGCTGCAGCTCGGCATCATGATCTACACCAGTCAGGTGCTACCTCTTCAGGGTGAGTACCACCCAATGACCCATCGCCACAAAGACCATTAGCATCACATCTGTTTAACACAATTCTGTGGCTCACACCATGCATGATTGGTCACTTGAGCTCTCCTCAACCTGCCACACCAACATTAAAAACAGCTTCCAAAAAGTATTCATACCCCTTTACTTTTTTTTTACATCACAACCACTGACTGCAGCGTTTCTCTCTGGGCTTAATGCCCTAATCCAATTTATAGGAGTAATTAATTTTGACCTGGAAGGGAATGGAAATATTAGAGATTACAGACTGGGGAAATGACCAATCTTTTAGGATATAAGAGAATGAATAAATTCTACATTCATCTATGCAAAATAGCTTAACCTCAGAGAGTTTCTCTGAACAATAATTAAAAAAAAAGCTTCACCACTACATGAATCCAAAACCATGTACCAGAACGGAGACTCTGTGTCCAAGTTCATGTGTGGTGTTTTTGTTTTTTAGCACCATATCTCTATTTGCACGCAGGCCAAAAAGTGTTGATGTAAACCGACCATAGCACTCCCATTTTTGCAGTGTTTCTCATGAATTGTAAATTACAAATAGGACTTATCATGGTTCTCCAACAAACCTCTAGCCTCGTGAGACCATCCTGATCTCGCGAGCTTTCAAGGTTTCACTCGCAGATCAGTCTGGAGACTCTCCGTTAAAGAAAATTTGGAGCCGTTCACCAAACGAACGTCCAATCAGCGTTGGCTTTGAGGCGGGTTGAGGTGTGACGCAAAGAGAAGCGCGACAGTTCAGTCTAAAGAACATGGAAGCTTCAGCCGATGAAACTAGCGTTAGCGTGGCTATCGAGCAAGTTTTATCGGAATTACAGAGTATTTCTTCACTGAAAGAAGAGCAAAACACTGCTCTGGAGGCTTTTCTCAGAGGGAAAGATGTTTTTGCTCTTCTCCCGACTGGTTTCGGCAAGAGTTTGATCTATCAATTGGCCTCCTCTTTATTGTCGTTCTGTTACGTCATATGCTTCGTTGATCTGATTGGTTTATTTGGCCCGTCTATCACCAACATAGGCCAATCAGCTAACCAGTATTTTCGCCCCTTCCCAAAATTACTTAAACGGAAGGTTTCCAGATGGATATGTGGAGCAAATCCATCTGGCGGAGTCAGGTCAACAAACCTCTGGGGCCTGAATAGCTGGATTTAAGCATGAAATTACACCGAGCTAAACTGTTTTCCATTACACTGACTTCTAAAGGCAAAGTATTGTCCTAGATTTCATATAAGATTTTTTAGCTTTCACTACACAAAATGAAAATTAAACAATTTTTAAGCATAAAGGTGTGAAATAGATGGCATGGAAGAAATCACAACTGGTTTATATAAACATCCATCCCTTTTCTAGCACGCTTATCCCGAGTGCCGTCGCGAGGGGTGCTGGTGCCTATCTCCAGCAGTCAATGGGCGAGAGGTGGGGTACACCCTGGACAGGTCGCCAGTCCATCGCAGGGCAACACAGAGACAAACAACCATTCACACCTAAGGGGAATTTAGAGAAGGCAATTAACCTAACAGTTATGTTTTTTTGACTGTGAGAGGAATCCAGAGTACCCAGAGAGAACCCGCACATACTCAGGGAGAACATGCAAACTCCATGCAGAAAGACCTCAGGCCGGGAATCGAACCCAGAACCTTCTTGCTGCAAGGCAGCAGTGCTACTCACTGCAGCACTGAGCAGCCCAGTTTATATAAACAATATCATTAAAATTAGTACTGTAGGTACGAAGACTATTAATTATACATAATTATAAGTTACTTTCATGATATAATCAAGTACTATGGAGTATTTGAGTAAAAGTTGGTGAATCCAAATCAAGAAAAAACTTTAAGGTTGGTCTAACAAAAAAATCTACAAAATATAGTGTGAAGAACTTAAAGAGGTATTATTTTTTTTGCATTTATGCCAAATAGTGAGAAAATGAGTCCATCCTTCTAACCTCTCCTCTTCTTGTCTCTCCAGGGATTTCAGCTTCTACCTCGCTGCTATCTCTCGCCTGGATGATCTCCTCCTACCAGAAAGTCTTGAGAGACTCAAGAGATGACAAGCTTCCCATGACCTACAAAGCTGTGATGGTCCAGATCCTGTGGCACCTGTTTACCATTGGCGCTCGCGCGCTGGCCTTCGCCCTGTTCATCTCCATATCCCGCCTTTACTTTGGCATCTTCATCGTGGCCCACTGGTGCATCATGACCTTCTGGATAATCCAGGGGGAAACAGACTTCTGCATGTCCAAGTGGGAGGAGATCATCTACAACATGATGGTGGGCATCGTGTATATCTTCTGCTGGTTCAGTGTCAGAGAGGGCCGCACCCGCTGCAGGTTGCTCATCTACAGCCTGACAGTGTTCATCGAGAACGTGGCGCTCACCACTGCCTGGTACTTGTACCGTGGCACCCCAGAGCACCACAGCGGCCCAGACTTCTACGCCGTCGTCATGGTTTGCGTGGTGGCCAGCAGCTATGCTCTTGGCACGTTCTTCATGTTTGTGTATTACTGCTTGCTTCACCCTAATGGCTCCATGTCAGGGTGGGGTTATATAGCACAGAAGGAGGTACCTGTGGAGGTGATGGCTTCCCCAACAGCGAGCCTCCCCCCTGATCTAGTTAGCAGCCCTCCTAGGACCCTTCAGAGAACTAAAGGGTTGGACAGGGAGTCTGGGATGGACGGAGACGTCTTTAAGGTACGCCCACCGAGGGGAGCCAAGCTCCCAGTGCCTCATCTCAAACCCAGGACAGAGGGGCCCGTCATCCGAATAGACTTACCAAGAAAGAAATACCCTGCATGGGACGCTCATTACATCGACCGACGACTGCGTAAAACCATCCTAGTGCTGGAGAGCGCAGCCCCAGTGACGCCAAGGATTCAGTACCGATGCCTGAGCACAGCCAAAGAAGTGATGGAGTACGAGACCACCGTGTGATGCGCCGAAGGTGCAGTGACTCAGCTCGTCGGCACATGGACATCCTGCCTTAAGTGAAGATGGCAGGAGGACTGCTGTCAATGCACAGCCTGTTTTAGCTCCACACGCTCTGATTGCCCTCTGTGCTGGCAGGCAGTGCACACAAACAGGCGGATAGAAGGATGGAGGGATGTGTCTTTATGTTCTGCTAAACAAAAATGGGTAAAAAGAAAATCAATAAACAACGCGTTGTTGTTTTCAGAAGGTCAAAAATTTGGTTTCTGTAACAGTTTTCTCAGGTCATGATGTGGCACAAGAGGTGATGTTAGAGAAAAGCACAGACAGGCAGAGAA